GACCCTCCGACAACGCGGTGCTCCCTCAGCACTGACCCTCCAACAGCGCGGCGCTCCATCAGCACTGAGCCTCCGACAGCGCGGTGCTCCATCAGCACTGAGCCTCTGACAGTACCTGTTCCCTCAGTGCTGACCCTCTGACAGGACGGCACTTCCTCAGCACAATCTCCGAAGTACTGGGCTATGACGTTCGACTATGACTCTGCCAATAGACAGTGCTGTACCCAGGACGCTGCCAGTGACATTTCATTCAAGCAGCAGGTGGCTCCTGTTTAACCTGACACAAGTTAAAAGAGGAAACCATCTGAGGACAGGAGCTCCAAGGAAGGTGAACGGACAGGGGCATGATTCCCGGAGGCCCTGAACCCTCTCCAGCCAGGCAGAACACCCCAAAGAGCAGCTCCTTCGACGAGTGTGCAGAATTTAGATAGCACAGAGCAAGATATCGATCAAAACTGAGGCAATTTGAAAACACTCACCTGAGCTGCTGCCTAACCCAATCCCTCTGCTGTCGCAGCACACGAAGCAATAGGTCTTCTTCAAACTCCATACCATCGGATTCTGCAGAAGAAAAGAGAAGAAACAGGAGACCGAAAGATGCTGAGTTCCTGCCAACACTCAGCCATCAACATAACCTGGTGGACTACACAAGGAGAAGTCCACAGATCTCTACCTAAGCTGAGAACATCAAGATGCGGTTGCAGTATGAGTAGGGAAGTCTTCCTGCAACTGTAAAAGGTGCTGGGGAGATCACATCTGGAGTACTATGAGCAGTTTAGATCTCCTTACTTAAACAAAGGTATGATTTCATTGGAGGTAGTATTTTAGAGAAGGTTCACTAGGATGATTTTTGGTATGGAGGGATTGTCTGATGAACAAAGGCTAAACAGGTTGGGGCTCCACTCACTGGAGTTTAGAAGAATGAAAGGTGATCTTGTTGAAACATACAGCATTCTCAAGGGGCTTGACAGGGTCAATGCTGAGAGGATCTTTGCCCTCATGGGAGAGTCTCAGACAAGAGGGCATTGTCTCAGAATAAAGGGCCATCAATTTCAGACTGAGAAGAGGTGGAATTTCTTCTCTCAAAGAGTTGCGAGTCATTGAAACTCTTTGTCACAGACAGCAGTGAAGTCAGAGTCCTGGTGTATTTTTAAGGCTGATATAGATAGATGCTTGATCAGTCAGGGAATCAAAGATGATGGGGAAAGTTATGTGAGGAATTTCGGATCATCTGTGACCATATAGAATAGCAGAGCAGGCTCAAGGGGTCGAAAGGCCTACTCTTCTTCCTGTTTCTTATGGTCTTATGCCTGACATTCTGCCAGGTCTCCACTCCGAATGCACCCGTAGGTTTCCATTCCACTGCTTGTCAGTGTGCACTGAAAACAACAGTGCTGAAGGGAAACAAAACAGAATTTATGGTGAATATATTCAATAGCAATTGAGATGCAAAAACAGAAGTTACCCGAAAAGTTCAGTAGGTCTGGCAGCATCTATGAAAAGAAATCAAAGATAATGTTTCAGGGCTGATGACCCTTCCTCAGAACTGATGGTAGCTAGGAAAGCATCGATTTATATGCAGAAGATAGGGTAGGGGGTAAGGAGTAAACAATAGGTGGGGATACAGCCCAAACAGTTAGGCCACATTGGAATATTGTGTTCAATTCTGGTCGCCACACTACCAGAAGGATGTGGTGGCTTTGGACAGTGTACAGAAAAGATTTATCAGGATGTTGCCTGGTATGGAGGGCATTAACTATGATAAGACGCTGGAGAAACCTGGGTTGTTCTCACTGGAACAACAGAGATTGAGGGGCAACCTGATAGAGGTCCACAAGATTATGAAGGGCATGGGCAGAGTGGATAGTCAGAAGCATTTTCCCAGGGTGGAAGAGTCAGTTACTAGGGGCCATAGGTTTAAGGCGCGAGGGGCAAGGTTTAAAGGTGATGTATGAGGCAAGTTTTTTTACACAGAGAGTGGTAGATGCCTGGAACTCGCTGCTGGGGGAGGTAATGGAAGCAGATACAATAGTGACTTTTAAAGGGCGTCTTGACAAATACATGAATAGGATGGGAATACAGGCATAGCGTTCCCGGAAAGGTAGGGGGTTTTAGTTATGACAGGCAGCATGTCGGTGCAGGCTTGGAGGGCCGAAGGGCCTGTTCCTGTGCTGTAATTTTCTTTGTTCTTTACAGGAAGCAGGGTGTGAGGATGTATAGTCCAGGTAGCTATGAGAGTCGGTGGGTTTATAGTGGATATTAGTGGCCAGTCTATCCCCAGAAATGGAAACAAGAGACGTCAAGGAAGGAAAGGGAGGAGGAAGAGTAAGACCAGGTGAAAGTGAGGGCAAGGTGGAAATTGGAAGTGAAAGTGACGAACTTTTCCAATTCTACACAAGAGAAGGAAGTAGCACCAACGATATTTTCAATATATTGGAGAAAAAGTTGTGACAGCGCTCTGGAATAGGACTGGAACAAGAAATGTTCCACATACCCCATGAAGACACAGGCATAACTGGGCCAATGCGGGTACTCATGGCCACTCCTCTGACCTGAAGAAAATGAGGTGAGTTAAAACAGAAGTTGTTGAGAGTGAGGATGAGCTCGGCCAAGCGGAGGAGGGTGGTGATGATTGAGGAGGGTTCAGGCCTTTGCTCTAGGAAGAAACAGACAGCCCTGAGACCACCCTGGTCGGGGATGGATGTGCGAAGGGATGGCACGTCCATGGTAAATCGGAGGCAGTTGCAGCCTGCAAACTGGAGATCCCAAAACTGGCGTAAAGCATCAGAAGAATTGTGAATGTACGTGGGCAGGGACTGGACCTGGGGAGAGAAGACTGAATCAAGATAGGAAGAGATGAGTGCTGTGGTGCACGGGTAGGCTGAAATAATAGGTCAACCCAGGCAGTCCTGTTTGTGGATTTTTGGAAGGCGGTAGAAGTGAGCTGTGCGGGACGATCAGCTTGGAGGCAGTGAGCAGGGTGCGGGGTCAGGGGAGCTCGGCAGATGAAATGAGGTCAGTGACTGTAGTTGATACAATGGACTCAATATCGAGTTCAATAACTTTAGGGCCTGAACTCTCCCATGTCCTAGCCACCTACCCCACAAACCAGGCCTTGTTATCACATAGTCTGCTATTACACATCACCTATTGTTAGCCATTAACAGATATTCACACTCCTTTGTCTGTCCAACTGTTCTTCTCTCTCTTTGGGCTCTATCCCCATCTAACATTTACTCCTTACACCCTCCTCCCACCCTACCTTCTGCGTATAAACTGACATTTTCCTGGCTACCAGTTCTGAGGAAGGGCCACTGGACCTGAAACGCTAACTCTGATTTCTCTTCATAGATGCTGCCAGACATGCTGAGCTTTTCCAGTGACTTCGGTTTTAGTTTCTGATTTACAGCATTTGCAGTTCTTTTGGTTTTTATTTAGCAACGGAGATGCATTCGTGGAACACAGCTGTAACTGTCTTGGAAGAGTTTTATGGAGACAGTGTAGAGAGAACTTTCAATTTAAAAAAGTACAGGATGATTTACTTTCATTTTAAAACAGTAGAAAATTTACTCCGTATTTAACCTGTGCTGTCGCTGTCCTGGGAGTGTTTGATGGGGACAGTGTAGTGGAAGCTTTATTCTGTATCTAATCCCATGCTATCCCTGTCCTGAGTGTATCTGATACGAACAGTGCAGAGAGAGCTTTAGTCTGTATCTAACCCAATGCTATCCCTGTCCTGGGTGCATTTGATGGGGGACGGTGTGGAGAGAGCTTTAGTCTGTATCTAACCCTATGCTGTACCTGTCCTGAGTGCATTTGATGGGGGACAGTGTAGAGGGAGCTTTAGTCTGTATCTAACCCCCTGACCCGGGAGTGTCTGATGGGGACAGTGTTGGGGTGCTTCACTTACAGTTCAAAAAAAAAGAGGAGGAGGCCCAAAATTATGAACAGACAGCGGGCCTGAGAGGATCATTTTATTCGACTGTCTGTCTCTCTTTTGCAGTTACGTCCATGTTTGCATGTCCGTGGAGAAAGAGTATGGGTGCACATTCAGTCCAGACCCTGTTATTTCAATTTAATAAGATTCGGTGTCCTTACATTAATGTTAATGTTCATTTATTTGTATTTTTATTACAGGTCCCAGCATGGGATATCTAACCATTTTTATTACTTTCCGTACTAAAAAATAAGAGTAGAGTATGCTTTGCGATGTATACAGTGGATGAGCAGTGTTGGTACCTTCAGCTTCTTCGAGTAGTTTGGCGACCGTCTCCTGTGTCTGGTGAGCTTCAGGCATGGGTGAAGGTGGTAGGTGATGACCCCTGGCTCTGCCAACTATCTTTGACTTGCTCCTGAGTTGATGGTTTGAATTATGAGGGGAGAACATTCTCTCAGAGACAACCTGGGGCGTAGCAAATCAGATCGATTACACTGAATCCCAACCATGGCAACAGACACTACTCAATAAACTAATCTCACATCAGGGGACACAAACTTAAATAAAAATGACCAGTCAATAAAGAACATTCTTCAGGGTGACTGTCAGGAGGTCAGTGCTCAGGGAGCTCTGCACCGTCGGGAGGGTCAGCGCTGAGGGAGCGCCGCACCATCGGGAGGGTCAGCGCTGAGGGAGCGCCACACCGTCGGGAGGGTCAGCGCTGAGGGAGCGCCGCACCGTCGGGAGGGTCAGCGCTGAGGGAGATTCTGCCTTACATAGGATTAGAAATACCAAATCTGGACACATGGTAAAGATGAAATGCAGCACCTGTCCCAACACCTGGTGAATGCTGGCACGCTGGTGGTGTTGTCTTGGTATAGGTTTCCCTCGATGCCATACCATTGTCAGTGAGTCCTCGGGTGAAGCACCACAGCGTTCACCTCCGGAAGATTCCTGTTCTGTGTCTGAGCTGCTGCTCCCAGTGAACGGGCGAGAGTCCTGCTGCTGTGACCTCACTTTGTGAAGATTTCGAGGCTGTGGGAACACAGGAGCCTGCAGCGATACAGGAGGCGGGGTGCAGCTGGCCTCCAATCCCTGGCTCCATCTCGGTTCTCTTCGCCCTCCATGATGGGCCTCCCTACCCCTCTGCAGGCAGTCGCTTCGACAGGCATCAGGCGCAGGCACCAGTCTCTGCTGTTTGTCAGCAGACACTCCCTCTGAAATCCTTTCTCCACTCGTACTGCGCTGTCTTGGGTGACTATCCGCTGACCTCTGCCCTTCCATCGCTGAGCTCACGCTGGGCTTGGGGCCACTGTTGCCTTTCCCTCTGCCAGTGCTGCACCGTCTGCAGAGACTGTCCACTGACCTCTGCTTTTCCCTTGTTGAGCTGAGGCCGGGTACCAGCCCACTGTTGCCTCTCCCTTGCTGAGCCTGCTCTCTCTCCGCGGCCTGAGGAACGCAGTGTTGACTTTGTGCATCTGCCTGTAGACACATCCAGCCACAAATGGCCAAGTGGTCCTCCGAAAGGCGCTGTGTCTCACTCGGGACCGGCAAGGAGCAAACGGTGGCGGTTCCAGAATTGTGTTTTGGACCACGTGGGGTGTTCCTGGTAGGTGCCTCTCTCCCTCTCCAACAGCTCTCAGGGTACGACCCTGTAACCACTGACTTGTTCTTTTGCGTGTCCCCATGAGACCTGGCAATCTGGAAAAGTAACCAACTCTCATTCAGCGACTGACGCTTCATCCAACTCTAAGCACTGACTACCTCCAGAAGGTCTTCAAGACCTCAGAGGATACAGGGCAGTTTTATAAAAAAAATTTATTCATGGGGTGTGGGTGTTGCTGGCTGGGCCAGCATTTAATGTCTTTCCCTAGTTACTCCTACTCAAGAGTAGGTGTTGGGGGAGCTGCCTTCTTGAATCACAGGAGGCTGTGTGGTGTAATGACACGCGCAATGGGACAGAGCTCCAAGATTTTGACCCAGCTACACTGAAGGAATGCTGGTCGTTAGATTGTTAATCCAGAAACTCAGCTAATGTTCTGGGGACCTGGGTTTGAATCCCATCATTGCAGATGGTAGAATTTGAATTCAATTTTTAAAAAAGTCTGGAATTAAGAATCGACTGATGACCATGAAACTGTTGCTGATTGTCGGAAAAGTCCATCTGGTTCACTGATGTCCTTTAGGGAAGGAAACCTGCTGTCCTCACCTGGTCTGGGTTACATGCGACTCCAGACACACAGCGATGTGGTTGACTGTCTACTGTCCTCTGTAATAGCCCAGCGAGCCACTTGGTTTAAGGGCAGCTAGGGACAGGCAATAAATGCTGGCCAAACAGTGACATCTATATCTGACAAGTGAATATATGAAAAAAAAATTTCCAAGTCAGGGTGGTGAATGGCTTAGAGGAAACATGCAGGGGGTGGTGTTCCCATGTATCTGCTGCCCTTGTCCTTGATGGAAGTGGTCGTGGGATTTGAAGGCGCTGCCTGAGGAGCCTTGGAGAGGTACAATTGTAGGGTGAAGTGGCCTCAACTAAAATGGACAGCGACCAAGAGAAGCTAGGATCGACCCCATTGGAGCAGAGAAGGTTCAGGGGGCGACTGAATCAGGCCATTCAAAATCACCAGGGGGGCGTTTTAATCGTCGATGAGGGAGACACTGTCTCCAGGGGTAGAAGCGTTGGTCACCAGAAGGACACTGATTGAAGAGAATTGGGAAAAAATCCAGAGGCGGGGGAAGGGGAAGAATTTGAAACAAAGACAAAAATTGCTGGAGAAACTCAGCAGGTCTGACAACATCTGTGGAGAGAAAGCAGAGTCAACATTTCTAGTTCTGAAGCAGGGTCACTGGACCCAAAACAGTGACTCTGCTTTCTCTCCACAGAAGCTGCCAGACCCATGGAGTCTTGCCAGCAATCTCAGTTTTTGTTTCATATCTCCAGCATCTGCAGTGCTTTATTTTTGGTTTGAGTAGGTGAATTTGTTATTTGACAAAACGAGTTGTTGTGATCTAAGACACCCTGCCTGAAATGGCAGTGGGAGAAGATTCAACAGGAGCTTTCAAAAGGTGAGGGCAATTCAGAGAAATATCTGGGAGGGGGAATATTGGCAGGGCAGTGGGGGAAAGAGAGGACATGGAAAGGAGAGCGGGGATTAATCATTGCAACACTGCACCAGGCCCAGGATGGAAATGTTTACAGAGCAGCATGGATAGTTTATTGAAATGGGAAGCAAATGGAAGGGTGGGATCATTTCAACAAACAAAGAGCAGTGGTTGCACAAAGAGGTCACCCAGTCTGCGTTTGGTCTCACCAATGTAAAGGAAACTGCACTGTGGGCAGCAAATGCTGTCGACTCAACTAGAAAAGTACAACTGAAACGTTGCTTCACCTGGAAGGTGTATCTGGGGCCTTGCACAGTAAGGATGGGGGAGGTAAACAGGCAGGTCATAAAGGTGTACAGCACGGAAACAAACCTTTTGGTTCAACTAGACCATGCCGACCAGATATCCTTAATTAATCTAGTCTCATTTGCCAGCATTTGGCCTATATCCCTCTAAACCCTTCCTATCCATGTATCCATCCAGATGGCTTTTTGTAATGTTGTAATTGTACCAACCTCCACCACTTCCTCTAGCAGCTCATTCCATACACGCACCACCCTCTGCATGAAAAAAGTTGCCCCTCAGATCCTTTGTAAACCTTTCCCCTCTCACCTTAAACTTATACCCCTCTAGTTTTTGCCTCCACAACCCTAGTGAAAAGACCTTGGCTATTTATCTTATCCATGCCCCTCATGATTTTATATTTTATATAAAGCCAGCCCTCAGCTCCAGGCTAAGTAGCCCCAGCCTATTCACCCTCTCCCTGTAGCTCAAACTCTCCAATCCTGGCAACATCCTTGTAAATCTTTTCTGAACCCTTTCAAGTTTCACACCTTTCCTATAGCAGGGTTACACTTTCTGAAATTGTACAAGGCAGTTGGTGGGGGGGGGATAGCTTGAGGAAGTGCTCAGAATAGACAAGGCTCTGATGGATGGATTAGAGCCTGCAGAATGTTGACAGTGGGGAGGAAGGGAAGACTGTATGGAGACAGTGATCCACTGGATGCAGTGAAAATGAAAAAACCTTTTGAATGGGGGGACCGGTAAGATGCCAGTGCGGAGATGGCAAACCTTCTTGTTGTTCTAGGCGGGAAGGCAGAAGTGCAGGAGATGGGGCAGGAATCTACAAAGGCCAAGTCAAAACAGGTCAGTCTGTAAGGGAGTTTCATGACCCCTCAGACTGGCACAGTTGCTGGGAGAAGCAGTTGACAGGACAGACAGCCACTTACCTGCCTGCCGAGGCAGATTGGAGGGGACTGCGACTTCCTCTGTGGTAGGAAGGCCCAAGAGCTCTCTCTTGCTGCCTCCATCTTCCTTTGCAGACGCCACTGGTACAGGATGTCGTCCTCAGGGCGGGTGGTAAACGAGGGCTTGTAGCTGGGGTAGAGGCCATCAGATAGGTTGTATGTTTGTTTCACGTCTCTATCTCCTGGAGAGGACAGAAGGGGCCATGCACAGCTGAATCAGAACGATGGCTACCACATGCAGTTAGAATAGCATTGCAAATCAGAATCTACTACACGCACCAACAGAAACGATCCGTGCTGAGGGAGCGCCGCACTGTCGGAGGGTCAGTGCTGAGGGAGCGCCGCACTGTCGGAGGGTCAGTACGAAGGCATTTCCAATATTTGAATGACAAATGAGTGGGATTTACAAAATGTAGGGTGCTTACCAACAGCAGGCTCACTCAGCGGGATGGAGACAGGACAGGCTGATACTTCCTGAACGGGATCAGAAACATTCGGAGATCCGACCCCGTCAGAGCTGACAGGAATGAGGCCACTGCAAGAAGATTCACTGGACAGGAGGGAACAGAAAAATACATCAGAGGTGAGAGATTAGATAGAAGTAACCACATCAACTTAAAGTTAAACATGATGCCTTAGTCAAAACGGTGCTCCCTCAGCACTGGCCCTCCGACAGCGCGGCGCTCCCTCAGCACT